ACTCACAACTGAATTTCCAAGAGTTAAGATGGGGCTTGGATTCAGCAGCTTGGGCTGGGCTCAGCATGCAATAGCAGAGCGGAAAGAACGGCAGGTGCTTCAACCAGCACCCCCCTTGGTGCAGTAAATGCTGGAAGACGATCTTACCCACCCTCTAAAGCTCCAAGGAAATTGTCACAGTGATGGATCAAATCAGGGACCCAAGGGATAGCTCTCAGCCCAAACTTGGCTCACAGCACACCTTCCTCTCTCCCCTGAAGACGCTAACATGCCATTAGTCAGCATATGCTCATGGGCAGGCTACACCAACGGCAGAGAGTTCACTGAGGCAGCATGGTAGACCAATGTGGGACACACCAAAAGTCTATGAAGTCAGATGCGGCCACGTTTATGCTGGTCCCCAGGTCCCAAAGCAGCTCAGTTACCTCAGCGCAGCATGGTGCCAGGGACGCAGTGAGCGCGCCAGAGCCAGCTGGAGCACCTGGTAATCACTCGCCGTGAGGAGTGCAGAGCATCCATACATGGGCAGGCCAGGCGCTGGGCTTGGCAAGACCAGCACTGAGCTGGGCTATCCCCCGCAGAGGCATCCCTGTGTTGTGGGTCAGGCTTGCCAGCACACATGGAAAGCTGAGCAGGTCAGATGCTGTATCAGACGAAGATTAAGACATAAGCTAGGGGCATGTTCATCTCTGTTTCCCCCATTTTCTTTTCAACATTTCATAGAATCATAGAATGTTTTGGGTTGGAAGGGACCTTTAGAGGTCATCTAGCCCAACCCCCCTGCAGTGAGCAGGGACACCTTTAACTTGATCAGGTTGCTCAGAGCCCCGTCCAACCTGGCCTTGAATGTTTCCAGGGATGGGGCCTCCGCCACCTCTCTGGGCAACCCGTTCCAGTGTTTCACCACCTTCATTGTAAAGAATTTCTTCCTTATATCCAGTTATAGCCAGTCTAAATCTATCCTCTTTTAGTTTAAAATCATTACCCCTTGTCCTGTCACAACCGGCCCTGCTAAAAAGATTTTCCCTATTTTTACTATAGGCTCCCTTTAAGTATTTTTTCCTCCTCCTCTGCCTCTGCACCACAGTATTTGTTGTCCTTTTATTACCCCTGCCCAAACATACTGTCCTCCCATATGTTCCTTGTTCATCATCTCACCACAGCCGCTCATCAAGCTATGCATCAAGGGAACATGTCAGGGCTTGTGCAAACCAAGCTCTTCCAAGAAAGCCTTCTAATAGAGTAGTTAAAAGGACTTCTTTCCCCCCACACCCACACATTATGAGGAACACAGGAACCCCCATCATCCAGAAGAAGAGAAATCTTGCTGCATAGTTACCCTCTTACATGCACTCAGCCACCAAACACTTGGCTGGAGATAAGGATGGCTACTGACCACATCGAAGTCGGGCATCTCTTGAATCACCCCACTGAGCTCTAAAGATTAGTCCATCAGCCTGAAAGAGAGAGAGCTGGAGATTTCTCCCATGCAGCAAATGCAGAGCTCAACTCTAAAGAGGTTGTCCATAAATCAAATCACCCTTCTAGCACTCCCACCAGTAGCCTCCAGTTTCATAGACTAATTCAGTGCTTTTAAAGAGAAATTTCAGATCGTGAAAGAAAATTAAAATTTCGGAACAACTGCTAAGTATACTCTATCAGCAAAAGATTGAGAGGTCTTACAACACTATACATATATTTTTTTTTTTTTTTTAATTCAGGATGAAGATTGGAAAAGGGAGGAAAGAAAGCCCTGATGGATTTGGCTCTGGCAGTCAAAGAATACAATTTTGTGAGTCAAGCATTCTAGTAACTCTGCTCTCCTTTCACACGAAATGATGAGGGACTGTTACCAGCTGTGCGACAATATATCTTCAGATTTTGTTATTTCGAATTTGATTTTTTTGTAGTGGATTTTACCAGAACCAATATTATTCTTGCCAGCTTTAAAGGCGCCAAGAACAGACTGCTGGCTGGGGGCAGCATTTTCTTTTTCAGGCACTAGCTATAATTCAGCTCTAATTTCCCCACTTTCCTCCACCTTTTCTTCTGTACAGACTTTTGTTTCTGAATAGACATGAACAGGGGCGATTTGGGAATTCACTTTCTACAAGTTAATTTCATGGCACTTAGCAGACAAAGTGAAGTAACTTCAATGCAAGCTTATTATTATAAGCAGTTTCAAGCACTTGTCATCCTGGTGATTTTTTTCTCCATGGCCTGAAACCACATCTTATATATAACTGGAGGGGGATGTGCAAATTTTCATTTCAGTTTTGCATTTGAACAAGTATTCTGCTTAACTTAATTAGGGATGTTTTATTATCACTTCTCAGCCTCAACATATCAAGGGCTTTTCCAAAGCAAGAGAAAAATTACCCTCTAATACCAGTTGCCCACCTTGTATGTTTTAATAGTCAAGTTTGAACATCGACTGGTGGATGAGACTACAACGTGCCACGTCCCACACTTTTCATGCGTCTAGTCTACATCAGAGGTCACTGATCCCACCCTAAGGTGCTGCCGAGGTGTTTTCCCACTCCCAATTGCTCTGAAGCACAGCCTGAGACTGAGAGTTTGCGTGGAAACAACACGCACACAGGCACACAGAGGCTCCAACAGAGACGCCAACTCCTGCTTTGCTGGCAGCAAAACCAGATCCTGGCTGTTTCCAGAAAATAGCGAGCAGCACACACGTTGGAACAGAGCCACTCCTTGGCACAGAGGTATCCTGCTTGGGCTCCTCACGTTCCCTCAGCTACACATATTCCTGAAAGCCTTCTCGGTTAATGCTACTCTGTGCATTTTTTTTTTCTTCTGCTGACAGCCTATGACTTCAGCTCTCCAACTGCTGTGTTCAACCCTTGGCTATCCGAGAGCCTGAAAACATGGACTATTCTGAGGGTGTCCTAGTATTTTAAAGACCACGTTCAAAAGGACTGATGGGTAAAAGGCTGAGTCAGCTTTATCACTGCCAAAATGATATTTTAATCTGAGATCCTTCTTGAAACGTAACTTGAGATAACAGAACAAAGATAATTACAACGAATGAAATAGTTAATTTTTTGTTTTAAGAAAAAATACCTCTCCTTGCTTGCTTCAGTATTTCGGATACCATCAACCACTTTAATCTGGGTTAGTTAAGGAAATCATGGTTTAAGCGGCTTCATCTCCCTCAAACTGACTGCTAGCATCCCCCTCCTCAAGGGTAGGGAGCAAACTCCAGTCTCGTTCACTTCTTTTTTTACTTGTTTCCCACTCATACGATGTGTTTTTGCTTTGAACCCGCCTTTCCCTCATTCCTTCTTCTCACTAACTACATACTAATGCAGACTTTCATTGGTACCCTCCACGTTTGGGAATGAATTCTTTGTTACAGCTTTACAGAGACACAGAGAGACTCTTTTGTATCACATAGCAAAAAAATATTAAGCACACACTCCTTGCAGTAGATGCACAACAGCTTTCTCTCTGCAAGCATCATATAAAGATGAAAAAAGGGAAAGGGGCTTTAAATTATTCTTCCCCAAAAGCTTACCTAATTTTAGAGGGGATCTCATCATCCGGTCAGAATCTGTGTGAATATATTTGCTTTAGCCTTAAATTCTGTGGGGAGCTCAGGCTAACCAACTGATGAAATATTTACCTAACCTATACCAGGGGGCTTGTGTCCCAGACTAAATCTGGGCAAAGGCAGTTATACCAATGGGAAAACTCCCACTATCCGCTCCCCGCCCCCCCCCAAAAGAAAACCCGTCAAAAAACAAACCAACAAAAAAAAAACGCACACAGCACAAATATGTAGGCTAACTGGGGCTGCTCTCACCGTACCGTGGATATATGCCAGTGTGAGGGCAGGCAAGACAGAGGGTCTTTCATGTTTGGAAGTGGCAAAAAATAAACATAGAATGTAACTCAGGAACAGTTGTTTGCTCTCCTGGAAGTCAGTCATTAAAGCGCTGACGGATTTCAAAGCTACCCAGCTCTTAATAGTCCCTGTATCATTACTACCTAGCAGGCAAGCATTCAGGGGTGGCAAAGGAAAGCTGCTGATGGCTGCTGGTGATTAGCAGCCTGCCACCTCCTTCACAGCGTGGCTCCACCTTCTTCATCCAGAAAGAAGGGGAAAGGAAACTGAAACAACTCTCAGTTTTCCTCAGCTGCACTTTGAAAGGTGGGGGAAAAAAAACCAGGCAAGCTAAGCAAACTCCGCACGTAATAATAATAGTGTCACATGTGCTGCTACTAACAGCTCAGAAAAAGCACATTTGGGGAAAAAAGACTGTAAACAATTACTTTTGGTCAGCTAAGCATGTATCTGTTAAGCACATGTGCATAAAGTCCACACACACTACTGTCCGTTTCTATTCTGTATTGTATCTGCAAGCTCGAGCTTATACATGCTATCCAAGAATTGTCACTGGAAAATCAGAGATGGACTGAGCATAGATCCCAATAAAGCCTAAAATAAAAGAGAGGTCTGAAGCTTTGGCTTTACTTTTGTCATCATGAAGTTGTTAGAAGCCATTCTGTGTCCTGAACTGCATTCAGATCAGTGCTGGAATGCAGCCTATACCCATCTCTTAAGCCAAAGGAAGAATTTTTAGACTTTCCAAGATGAAATATTAGGAGACAGAAAACACAGACCTAGAACCAGATTTGAAATTTCACTTTGAAAAAAGGTGCTGAGAACCCAACACTACGTACGGCAACGTCAAACGTACTGAACCAGCCACTGCTATGGCATGAGGCATACGCCGCGGCATGACGAAGTCTGCCAGAACAACTCAGGTCCCATGTAGGAAGCATCATTCATAGGCAGGCTGCAGGCTGACCCCAGGCAGCTCTGAGGGGACAAGGACCAGCTGCTTGCGTGCCCAGTCCCATTCACAGCCTCCCTGTAAAGTATTTCTGCCTTCGAAGGTGCACATGTTGAGTAAGGTGGAGAAGAGGCACCCGCTACACACACCACCACCTCAGCCATGCTCCTTGCTACTTACTACTGCTCTTGCTGATGTTGGTGGACTGTTGCTTGGCCGCTTTGCTCCTCTTCAGATGTTGTCAGCTTCTGAGGGTTTTCAGCCTCCTCTGTTTCATTTTTGCCATCCCAGAGGTAACCCTGAGAGGAAAGAGGGGCACTGGAGGCAGCAGCCGGCCTGTACCTGCCGCCCCCC